CTTTTTGGAAAGGAGAAAACATACCCTGCTTCAATCTTCTCTCTCCCAATTAATATGTCTGACATTTGAAATGTGGCAGCCAAACAAAATAAAAAGATTTGTAAATGTAGGGAAAACATTGTTTTGATCTGCAACCTTTTGCATTAAATACAGCGTAATTAAGACATAAAGAAAGATATAAGAAATGTAGTAGACAGATAACTGTGCACTGAACAATGGAGCAGCGATTATGTTATGTGCTAAGAAAGCAGTAGGTATAATTGGTTTTCTCCTTTTCCCAACTAAAAGAAAAATTATAATACTGTTTTTTTATTTTTTTATTTTCACCAAAAGGCACATATTTCCCCTTGAAATCTTAGGACATGGGTGCCATGCCATTCATAGCCAGAGATATGGGTCTGATCACCTTTTTATACATCCCTCTTCATGTACCACATATGCCAAACTCTGAATAGGACCTGTGTGTTAAGTCTTACATTTGAAACTCTCAGGTTTCACTGGTTCTCCCTTTGAACATTACGCCAGAGGTATGCAAACTTTTCAAAAAAGGAACCATTCATGCATCTGTTTTTAGCTGTGTGCTTCTCACTCCATTTAAAGCCCCTTTCTGTGGCAGCTTCAATAGAGCTCCCTCCTCCGGTCCTGCAAAGTCATGGCCTGAATGGCAACGTCTCATAATGTGTTCATGGATTGTTCCTCTCCTTCTCCTTACTTCTTGTCGGTCCTCATCATCTTTGGATGGAACTTCCTTAAAAGTTTAATCCTGTAAAGCAGTGGTTTCCAACCTTGGGTAGTCCAGGTGTTCTTGGACTGCAGCTTCCAGAAGCCTTCCCTACCAGCTGTGCTGGCTGGGGTTTCTTGGAACTGCAGTATAAGAACACCTGGTTACCCAGGGCTGGGAACCACTTCTGTAAAGTGTGCTGTATGCCATGCATATTTATGGTCTTTTGTAATTAAAAATGGCACTTAGGAGAACATGCTCTGAGGTTAGCATGTTCTCCTAAGTGGCATTTTTAATTAAGATATCCATTTTATTGACACATTGGTCCATAGCTGTAGTCCCAGAGTCTTGCTGATCATGGCGAGTTCTGATTCATATTTTGTCTCTTGGCAAGCTGGGCAATAAACTCTAGAAATATTTGCCTGGAGGAAAGTTAGAAATGACAAGTATCAAAGTGACAGTGTCATGAAAGATGATTCCCATTCTGCACCCCCATGCCAGTGTCAAAGAAAAACAGATTTTTCCAGATAATCCCAAGAATCTAATCTTTACACTTGGCACTTCTGATTAAAATTGGCTCCTAAAGATCGGTAAACATGCAACCAAATTTTACATATGCCTATTCAGAACTGGCTTAGACTTTGTTCAGTGGCGCCGTCTTTCCCATAAATTTCACAGGCTTACTTTCAGCTTTAGTTGATTAATCTAGCAAATTTAATCTACAATTGTAGCCTGTTTCTTGAATAACTTATTTTACAGGGATTAATGTTGCTGAATTTTCTAAATTCTAATGTTCTAAATTCTAATGTGATGTTATTTGTAGGTGATGGATTATAATATTAACTTGGGGAAACACCTCCTCCCTTTAGTGGCTCAGGTGCTGAAGTACTGCTCATGCCCCCAGCTCAGACATTATTTCCAGCAACCACCCCGCTGTTCCCTCTGGTCTCTTAAGCCTCATATTCGCCAGATGTGGCTGAAGGCACTACTTGTCATCCTGTATAAGGTAAGTGCTCCTGCACTGCTGATGTGAATCTTCCCCAAAGCAATGATTGTTAATCCTGGGAAATGTGGTGATTTTTTTTAAAGAAATAGTCAAAAACTTTGGTGATATCGTCATATACTTTTAATTTAGAAATGGTTTCCCTCAGGTTCTGAAAGGCTCAATTTTAAAAAATTTTGTTCTGTCTTCTGACTTTATGCCAGGGGTGGGCAATTAATTTCTATAGGGGGCCACATGAAAAATCTGAACTGTGTTCGGGGGCCGAACCAACTTTACTTAAAAATAAAAGATAAGCAACTGATCAACTTTAGACAAAAAGCTCTAAATGGTTTTGATGTTCAACTTGTTCAGTGAGAGAACGCCAGTCTGTCTTGGGCTGGAACAAGTGCTTGAACACCGGACTGGAGCGACGACCGGCGGGCCGGACAGGACCGGCTCGTCGGCCATATGTGGCCCTCGGGCCGCACTTTGCCTGGGTCTGCTTTATGCTATTCATGAAAGCAAAGTTCAGCAGGCTGGTGGGAAGTCAGCTTCTGGCTATGAATTAGGTGTAATCACTCAGGATTCTCCTTATCAGGTAACAGGAAAAAATGTATGTCAGTTGTTCCAAGAAATCCACTCAAGATGAAACCTAGAGTAGAATACCGAAGCCGCTGGTGCAAATGGTCTGGCGTGCAATGTGGGTGCACCCTCACAACCCACCTTCCATTACAAAAGAAAGAGAGAAATATTTTACAGTATATCAGCTGCACGGCAGATGTAGCTTCCCCCATTCAAAGGACAAGTGGAAGAGGTTTGAATCTGCAGGACCAAAGGGGGGGGGCTGTCCAGACCATGGGATCCAAATCTTCTCCTGTTGGAACATCCTCGGCACATATGCCTCTGCCACTGGGGTTCCGACAGCAAAGGAGCAACCCTGTTTGAACTTCCCACCACAACACAAGGGGGACCTCCTTCTCTGCCAATGGGCCTCCCTCAACACAGTCAGAGGTTTAATTAAATCCCCATAGTCTCTGGGACACATTCATAGGATTGCGCCATGAATCGTTTGATTACATTTAAACACTTTCATTTATCACCAGAACTTCAGTACAGGTGCTTTCCTTTGTGAGATAAATGGCAGCGAAATACTACTAATTGTGGGAAGAGAAAGTGAACTTCACAGTTCTTTCCTATTACTGTAGCTCTCCAGAATCAGTAAAGGCATTGTTGTAATGTTTGGCCTCATTGAATTAAATTGTCATTTCCTGAGAGTTCCCTAAAACGTGTTAGACCAGGGGTGTCGAACCTTTCACCTTCCCTGGGCCACATTAGAAGATGAACATTTGGTTTGGGCCGCACATACATTTGGTTTGGGCTACATGGGGGGGCAGCCCTAGCCATCCTCTGCAGCCCTGCTCCAAGCGCGCTTGAAAAAGAAAAAATGTGTTAGACAGAGCAAGGATAAGTGAAAGGGCTTGTTTAATACTAGCCTGGGCTTTGAAAACAAATTAGAATCCTATGGATTAGAAAAGCTACAATAAATTAAAAGATTGTAGGTAAGTTAGAGTTGTTCTTGTTTTTGAAATGAATCCTCTTTCTTTTTCTTTTTTGCCCGACAAGTATCCTTATAGAGACTGTGAGGTTAGCAAAGCTGTGTTGCATCTCATCCATATAACAATCAACACCCTCATCCTTCCTTCCCTCTCTCCCCCTCTACTGTTGTGACATGCCCCGGCCACATTCTGGCCGCAAGCGCCGGCAGTGTAACTTGAAACTTTGGAATTTCTTTAAAAATAAAAAAATTGCATTGGGCTGCATTACAAACTGACCTGGGCCGCATGCGGCCCTTAGGCCGCGGGTTGGACAAGCCTGTGTTAGACAGAGGAAGGATGAGTGAAAGGGCTTGTTTAATACTAGCCTGTGCTTTGAAAACAAATTAGAACCCTACAGATTAGAAAAACTACAGTAAATTAAAAGATTGTAGGGAAATTAGAGTTGTTCTTGTTTTTGAAATGAATCCTCTTTCTTTTTCTTTTTTGCCCGACAAGTATCCTTATAGAGACTGTGAGGTCTGTTAGACAGAGGAAGGATGAGTGAAAGGGCTTGTTTAATACTAGCCTGTGCTTTGAAAACAAATTAGAACCCTACAGATTAGAAAAACTACAGTAAATTAAAAGATTGTAGGGAAATTAGAGTTGTTCTTGTTTTTGAAATGAATCCTCTTTCTTTTTCTTTTTTGCCCGACAAGTATCCTTATAGAGACTGTGAGGTCAGCAAAGCTGTGTTGCATCTCATCCATATAACAATCAACACCCTCAACGCCCAGTATCATAGCTGCAAACCTCATGCCTCAGCGGGCCCTTTGTATAGTGACAACAGCAATGTAAGCAGATACAGCGAAAAGGAAAAAGGTACTGTATAACATTAGATGGGAACACGAATTAGCAAAGTCTCTGGATTGCATTGACTCAGACAGAATGTGCTTTGGAATAGTTCGTCTAAATCTGGGAGGCCAGCTGCATTTCTTGGCATTACAGCTTCCAGAATCCCCACCCAGAATGTCCAGCAGAAGAATTATAGGGATTGTAGTGGGATTTTTAAAAAAGCTTTTTGAAGCACTGGGCTGAACAGGGTCCATTGTACTGTATAATGTCTCCAGAGTTGTATTAATCAGCTTGTGGCTGAAAAAGCCACAAATTGCTCATGGGTTTATTTGTAAAGAAACCAACAGAAAAAAAAAACATATTGCCCACCAACCTTTAAAAATAATAATATTCAATATAAGTGTATTGGGTGCAGTAAAAACACCCAAAAGCACATGTAATAGATTCAAATGAACAGTAACATAACTGTATTTTGCTGCTACTCTTTACATGATCTGTGGGGCTGGCATAACACATTTCACTTCCTGAGGCAAGGAAAAAGATGGCACTCTTTCATCCCATGTACAAAAGCCAGCTAGAATGTTTTGTTTTTCTACAATCTTTGTAGAAAAGGCAATGCATAGGGCAAACTGTGGGTCACACAGCTCACCAAATCCCCAATGAGTCAGGGGGCCTACTCTAGTTGTGACTTGCTCTTGGATTTCGTCGTTTAGTCGTTTAGTTGTGTCCGACTCTTACCTTGTAGGATTTTGAGCATAACCTTGCTAGCATGTGAAATGAGTGCAATTGTACGGTAGTTGGAGCATTCTTTGGCACTGCCTTTATTATTATTTATTTATTTTTATTTATTTGATTTATATGCCGCCCACTCTACCCAAAGGTCTCTGGGCGGCTCACAACAACCAAAATTCAATGGAGTAAAACAAAATGATTAAAATACAGTTAAAATACAATTAAAATACAATTAAAAAATACAATTAAAATTGCCATCATTAAGACCCACAGTTAATGTTATTTCAATTAAAAGCCTTCTGGAACAGGAAGGTTTTGACCTGGCGCCGAAATATCATCAGTGTCGGCGCCAGGCGAATTTCAGTTGGGAGGGCGTTCCATAGTCTGGGGGCAGCTGCCGAGAAGGCCCTTTGTCTACAAGCCATCCCTCTTACCTCCTTGAGGGATGGCTCTTTCAAAAGGGCCCCCTGGCAAGATCTTAACAGCCTGGTAGGCTCATATGGAAGGAGGCGGTCCTTCAAGTATCCAGGGCCCAAGCCGTTTAGGGCTTTATATGTCAAAACAAGCACTTTGAATTGGGCCCGGACAGCAACTGGTAACCAGTGTAAATTATACAGAATCGGCTTGATGTCCTCTCTGGCGGCCCCACCACTCACCAGCCGCGCAGCTCGATTCTGAACCAGTTGCAGTCGCCGGACCGTCTTCAAAGGCAGCCCCACGTAGAGCGCATTGCAATAATCAATACGAGATGTTACCAGTGCATGTGTAACTGTCATGAGACTCCACTCGTCCAGGTAGGGCCGGATTTCAGCCACTCAAATATCAGAATTTCAGGATATCAAGCTGATTTTAGCTCACTGTGTTACAGTTTATTTTGCAAATTGCAATGCAAGCCTGTACATCCAAAGTACTTTATTTGGCATACATAGAAGCATGCAGATATCCAAAACTTTAGCTTGGGACTTAGTTTCATTTGAGCAGAAGAATTTTGAAGAGTACAGACTTTATTTTTACATGGTATTATACATAATGCCAGAAGCCAACGAAATGTCACTTTTAATAAAACCTACATGCAGTTTATCTGAGAGGCTAGCTTGGAGGGCAACAGAGTAAAAATAGAGAAATTTATTTCAGTGTTGAGGGTTTATCTGTCATTTCCTGAAGGAGAACCCTTTCTGCTTTGCAATGGATGGCTTAAAGAAATAAAAGAGTAAAAGGAGGTCTCTCCCCAACACCTACTGAATTCACATGTCTTGGGAAAATCACAAACTCTTGTGGGATAAGGTTTATATATAATTTAAATAATATAATAACTGTATACCATCAAGTCAATTGTGACTTATGGCAATCGTTTTCAGGGTTTTTAAGGTAGAGAATATTCAGAAGTGACCTACCCATTCCCTTATTCTGGGGGAGCCCTGGGACTGTGCAGCTTGCCCAAGGCCACATAGGCTGGCTCTACTCTCAGGAGGCACAGTGGGGAATCAAACAGCCAGCCTCTGTCTCCACAACCAGGTGCCTAATCCACTGAGTAAATCAAGCTTGACATCTCTCTCTCTCTCTCTCTCCCTACCTCCCTGCCTGCCTGCCTGCCTGCCTGCCTGCCTGCCTGCCTGCCTGCCTGCCTGCCTGCCTACCTACCTACCTACCTACCTACCTACCTACCTACCTACCTATGGCTTAAAGCTTTGCAATTTGTGGAATTCTGGGAATTTATTCCAAAAAGCTAAATGTTCTTAGCTGGGATAATGTTGAATCCACCCTGGCATTATATCTCTGGTCACATCTGCATAATTAGTCATTGGTCAAGAGAGTAATATGATTTGGTGTGTGCAGTTTGGAAAAATGTCTTACTGAAATTGTGATGGCATCAGAATGAGGGAAGGAAGCCTCTTCTAACCTCAGAAGGTCCATGGGTGGCTCTAATCCTACCTGGGTTGCTAGACTAGCTGAAGAGAACAATATATGGCTTTCTTGTTCTACTTTATGGAGGATAGTTCTCTGCTTGAAGAACAGTCAAAGGACATCCTTTCTTTGCAGCAGTCTTTTATTTAAAGTTCTGTCCCGTACAAGCCTGGTTTAAAGATAGTGAACGATATGAAAGGAGAGCTGGGGCCCTGGAATTCCAATGGTGATTTCACCCCGGGACAGCACACAGAGTGGGTACACTAGTTACCTGCTGAAAGTCGTCTTGTAATGATAAATTGTATAATGTGTTGTGTTTCTATCTAAACTGTACTAATTATTTTTAAGAGCTGGGGTAGCTCACTGGTTTGGACTGGCTGGCTGCAGAGTCAATGGCTAGAAGTTCAAAGCTTCTGGAAAGAAGTCAGTAGAGATCACTCATGCATGTGTGGCTAATGTACATACCTTGCCACCTGTTTAGCCTTGAGCAAGCTATACATTCCTAGAACACCATACTTAGAAATCCTGGGAGAGTTGCTATAAGTCAGAAATGACTTTGTGGCACATTATTCCCAACCTGGGAGAGTTGCTATAATTCAGAAATGACTTTGTGGCACATTATTCCCATCCCCCCCTTTTCCTTTCCTTTTCCTTTTCCTAAGCTGTTTCTAAATATTCACCTTTATAAATTACACGCATGTCCTTTTATAAACCTAGGCCCTCCATTCTCTTTCTTTTTAATGTTATATTTTCCTCTTTTCCTTGATAGATGCATAAAGAGTGCCCTTACTATTTTACTGAGTCACTCAGTCCATTTAGCACAGCATCATCTACAATGAATGGAACTTTTTAATTATAAGGACATCCAGTCCCAGAATTCAGCTAGATTCCTTCAGGCAGAATTCTGGGACTGGGAGAACAGAAGCCAGAAGGTCTCCATATTCTTTCAATCTCCATATTGTGCTTCAATCCACATGTATCAGCTGGGAAGAAGAAGAGAATGTCCCTTAGTTGTACTGCTTCCTGGGAATTGACCCAGGAGTCTACAGAGAGAGTAGTTTTACTTCCAATTAGACCCTGTTGGGGGATCCTCTCACTACCTTATCCATAGACTACTGAGGCAATTCCCAGTAATCAGTGCGACTGAGAGGGCATTCCCTCCTTCTTGCCAGCCGATACATGTGGAAAAAAAGTACAATATAGATGTCTCTTTTTTGTTCTGGTTTCTCCTCTCCCAGTCCCAAAATTCTGTCTGGAACATTCTAGACAAATTCTGGGGCTAGAAGTCCTAACAATACAGAAGATCATCCCTATTGTCTATATCGCTGGTTCCCAACCTTGGGTAACCCACTTGATTTTGGACTGCAACTCCCAGAAACCCTGGCCAGCACAGCTAGAGGTGGAGGCTTCTGGGAACTGAAGTCCAAGAACACCTGGGTTACCCAAGGTTGGGAACCATTGGTCTTACACAATGGAGAGTTCTCACAATCTTGTTCCAAAAGTGGTGTTAGAATTGAAATATCAAAACTTGAGAAAGCCCACTGTTCCAAAATGAGTTAACAGAAAAATGGTTCTTGTTTTTTAATTTTGAGGAAAGATAAATATCATGACAGTGTGAGCCCTTATTCTATTTTTTCATTACCTTTAAAAAAAGAAAATTTAGTTACTTCAGATTAATGTAATTGGATCATTTGAGAACTATATAAGGTGCTCTAGAAATTTGACACTGAAAAAGTAAGTAGCAGGAAATACGTTGTACCTGAAGAGTCTGTTGACACTAATCAGGCCCTTTAATCGCTACCCAACTGGCTTGGTTATTGATTTTTGTTGTTTAGTTGTTAAGCCGTGTCTGACTCTTTATGACCCAATGGATCAGAGCACACCAGGCCCTCCTGTCTTCCACTGCCTCCTGGAGGTTGGTCAGATTCATGATGGTAGCTTCAGTGACCCTGTCCAACCATTTTGTCCTCTGTCGTCCCCTTCTCCTCTTGCCTTCACACTTTCCCAACATCAGGTTCTTTTCCAGGGAGTCTTCTCTTCTCATGAGATGGCCAAAGTACTGGAGCCTCAGCTTCAGGATCTGTCCTTCCAGTGAGCACTCAGGGTTAATTTCCTTTAAAATGGATAGGTTTGTTCTCTTTGCAGTCCAGGGGACTCTCAAGATTCTCCTCCAGCACCACAATTCAAATGCATCAATTCTTCGGCGGTCAGCCTTCTTTATGGTTCTTTATGTATGTTAATACAATGTGGACATATTTGTTAGTTAAGGGTGATGGTATCCAAAAGAAGTAATATCCCTTGGAGCAGGGTCAGCTTACATTCGGAGCAGGGGGAGCACCTCACCTCAGCATTTCTGGACCACAGCATGTCTTTACCTAAGAGCAAATATTCTTTCCTTGCAGGTTTCAAATGCAGACTCTTGACAAACAGTACTGTTTGAATATTCTTTAGCACATATGGCCCAGTGGTCTCTTTGCCAATGGTACTTGGTACAGCAGAAAGTAGAACACAGAAGCCACGTATGATTGACATAGCCAGGGCAAACATGGGTATTCCCCCACACATAAGCAAACATTAATGCATATGAATAGCAGGAGGGGAACACAGGGAATGCCTTGAACTTTCACTTCTGACAAGGTCGGAAGCAGGAAGAGGGGGCAAACTGTACTTGAGAGGCGGATGGTTCCTCATTTGTCCTAATGAATGAGCTGTAACTGAGAGGTGATATGCCATACATTTTATGTAATATTTCAGGAGCACAACTTGTGCAAATGTTCTAGTAGTAGTAGTAGTAGTAGTAGTAGTAGCAGCAGCAGCAGCAGCAGCAGCAGCAGCAGCAGTAGTAGTAGTAGTAGTAGTAGTAGTAGTAGTAGTAGTAGAATAATAATAATAATAATAATAATAATAATAATAATAATAATAATAATAATAGGCCTTCTGGAAATTTGAAAATCAGTGCATACGTCTCCTGAGAATTTCTGAACAACAAACAGCTTCATGTATGCTATATTTCTGTTTGCATAAGAATAATGCTGATTGTTTTTTCCTTTTCAAGCGGAAGAAGATAGTGTCTTTGATGAATCTGACATTCATGATACACCCACTGGTACAACCAACAATAAAGAGTCACAGACCTTCTTTGCAAGACTGAAAAGAATAGGAGGCAGCAAAATGGTGAAATACCAGCCAGTTGAGATGAATGCTCAGAGAAGTACGATATCTTTTTAAATTTAGAGAAATTTAGAATGCAATGAGATGTCTTTCATGTTAGATATTTTTCTTTTCGTCTGTTTTGAAATATATTTTGATCTCCAGCTGCACCGATGTTACTTGTAGGGATGCATAGCTGGTTTCGCCAAAACCCACACTAGGGGTATGATCATGCGGGGAAACAAATTGCAATTTGGACTCCTTGTAGAGTGGAATGGTGTGATCTATTTCCCAATGATCACAAAATGCCTGAGGAGCTGCAGCCCCAGCCAGACCCTGATCCATGCCCAAGCTGGATCTTTTTGGTCCCTCTATAGGCCTTCTATTTTTGTGGGCAGGCTACAGTGATTCCCCTGCTGATGGAAGGGATGCTTTAAGGTAGTGGTCCCCAACATGCATGTGCGCAACTGTGGACCAGTTGGGGAGCGAGGTCTGTGCACGTGGGGGCGTGACATGCTTGCACAGGGGCAGGATCTGTGAGCAGGGGCGTGGCATGCTCATGGGTGGGCATGGTGCACAGGGGCATGTCATGTTCACATGGAGGCATGGCATGCTTGCACACATGCATGGGGCCACACTCGTGGGGGGGCGATGGCAGGGGGGCAGGAGGTCAGTGTCCTCAGCCGATTCTGATTCCTATTCCAAGTCAAAAGGAGACAAGAAATTTAGGATATCTGCAGTTTGACTTTGATGGATTGAATCAGATTTGAATTGGTCTAAATAGAATTGGGCCCTAATCTGAATCCTTGAATTGGCCACTAAATCAAATCCAGGTCACTTGCACAGATACAACAAAAAAAACCTCTGTGCACAGGGCTACTCCCAGTTACATTTCTCTGGTTGTCTGAAATTATAGCTGAACTGGAGAGAATATAATTGTATGTTTTTTTTAAAAAAGAGTATTTCCCTTTATCATGAAAAATGCATCAAAATGAAGAGCTTTCAAGCTGATCTTGAGGCTTATATTCAGTGAATACACAGAAAGATGGTGAACCTAATCCAGTGATCCACCATTGGTACATGCAAGTTACCGTCTTGTTCTCTCTTTCTGATTTCATGTAACATCAGATTGGTCTTGGAATATCTTATGTAGTGTCAATCTTGACGAGGTACTTGGCTCTGTAGAACAGCCCAACGTGTTTTTAGCATCAATATGTTTTTAAAATATAATTTCTGTCTAAAATGCCAATAGTGTTTGGTGGTGGAAATGAAAGGGAGAGGTTAAAAATGACCATGGATTCAGATAGTTTTCATTTTCAATCAGGTGAAATCGAGCTGGCTGAGTACAGAGAAACGGGCATATTGCAGGATAATATTCTTCACTGTGTGAGAGAAGAAAGCTTTCAGAAAAAGAAACTGCGCTCTCTCAAACAAAAATCTCTTGATATTGGAAATGCAGATTCCTTGCTGTTTACGTTAGATGAACACCGTCGCAAGTCGTGTATAGACCGCTGCGACTTAGAGAAGCCATCTGCTACTACTGCCTACACCACTCTGAGGCAGAATGATTATGGACAACCTCAGCAGAATTCCTCCACCAAGGCAGAAGATGGAAATAAAGAACAGAAGGAGAATCCCCCAGCTGTACCAGAAAAAAACTTAACTAGACGAAGGCCTATCATACCAGAAGTCAGGTTAAGCTGCATGGAGCCGTTTGAAGTGAAAATAGATTCACCTGCGAAATCTCCTCCCAAGGAAGACTTAGATCTAATAGATCTGTCTTCTGACTCAACATCAGGGCCTGAAAAGCAATCAGTTGTTTCCAATTCAGACAGTGACTCATTGGTCTTTGAGCCCCTCCCTCCCCTCCGAATTGTTGAGAGTGATGAGGAAGAAACAGATGTCACAGATCAACTGAATGAGGGTGTCTCTGGGAAGACCGCTACCTCGTCTCCATCAAGTCCCACTCATGCCTCTGTGTTGAGCCTCAGCATAACCCCTCTTGTACAGCTGAGCATTGAAGATTGCTCCAAAGATGTAACTCCTCCAGCAAGTGATATTGTCTCAGTTGCTCAGGAGGCAGTATCTTCAGCTACCAAGGATGGTCAGAAAGATATTGACGAGCTAACTAAGCCAAAAGAAGTTAAAGAGACATCCTTGGGCAGCCCCCTGACACTAAAACAGAAACGGGATCTGCTGCAGAAGTCATTTGCTCTTCCAGAGATGTCCATTGATGATAGCTCAGAGTTATCCATTGAAGAAATTAAACCTCTAGGACCTTCTCCTAGTTCCAGTGGGAAAACAGTCTTCATTAAGGTCCCTGAGGACTCTGAGGACCAAACTGAGAGCGATAAGCCTGATGCCAGTGCTGAGTCTGATACAGAACAAAAACAAGAGGAAGAAGAGTCAGAATTTAAAATCCAAATCGTTCCTCGACAAAGGAAACAAAGGAAGATTGCAGTGAGCGCCATCCAGAGGGAATACCTTGACATTTCCTTCAACATCTTAGACAAGCTGGGTGAACAGAAAGAGACAGGTAAGCAGAATCAAGGGGATGAACTAGTTTTACAAAATTATACACAATCAAGTATGCAAGACCATATTTGCAAAATTATGCATGATCTCCTTTATGTAGGAGAAAGTAGACAGGGAGAAGTTTTTTCCCCTCTCTCATAAAACAAGAACGTGAGACCGCACACTGAAGGTGAATGAGGGGAGGGAGACTCAGGGCCATTGAAAGGAAATTCTTCTTTATGCAGTGCATAGTAACACTATGAAATTCACTGTTACAGGATGTAGTGACAGCTACCAGTTTAGACAATTTTAAAAAGGGATAGCATAAATTCATGGAGCTAAAGGACAAAGTGTAACACCACTCACGTCATGCTCTTCAGCTTCCTATAGGCAGCTAATTGACCACTGTATGAACAGTGTACTAGATTAGATAAGCCATTGTTCTCATGCAGTGTTACTCCTCTTACGTTCTTACATTCTCACATATCTGAAACCATTCACTCTCCATGGTGCTCACTTACAAAGGAAGAGCAGTTCTTACACTATTCTTTGGAGATTTTCACAGTTCGTTGAAACTAAACTAGGAAATCCCCCACCCCCTCATTTCATAAGTCCTCAGATCTGGGTATATTTTGAACAGATGTGTGAGCTAGTCGCACCAGTTCTTCCTCCTACTTTGGATGCTTCATTACGTAGCTTATTTCTCACATGAGCAAAGAACAGAAAGCAAAGCACCATTGTTTTGAGAACTGAAAGCTTTACTAGAGGCAAAGAACGGTCTTACAAATTTGGTTTGGGAAACTGAAGAAAACTACAAACCTTACTCCCTTTAAGGAAATCAGGATCCTAAGTGCTAGTTCCAATTTACTAAGTGTTGGTTGGGCCTCCTATGTCTATAGTAAGCATTCCCTCCTGCCAGTTACATCCCTCTTTGTTTGATCAACTTTTTCTCATGGGAGGGGAATGGTAGATGATAAGGAAGGGGGATTGTGCATTAGGAGGCCTTCACCGCACCACATACTTTGAGAGGAATTATTTAGGATTGTAGGGAAGGGGAAGCATTTTCCAAGAAATTAACAGGAGGACATTATGGACGAAGGCAGACTGCCACTCATTAATTCTAAGTATTATGGATGGAATTATGTAAATACTACGTAGAAATGAGCAGCAAGCATTTACTTGTTTAGAAGCAAAGGGTGCTGCTTATATACCACCCCATAGCAGTTCAAGCACTCTCTGGGCGGTTTACAAGTTAATTACGCAGGCTACACATTGCCCCCACCCCGACAAGCTGGGTACTCATTTTACCTGTGAGCACAGTTTTGGCTGCAGTACAGCAGTTTAACCACTGCGCCACAAGGCCTAGCCCGCTTCTGTTCCCAGTTTTCCTAGCCACCCGTTGTTCTACATAGCACCACCATAGAGGCTATCTCTTCGCCATGCTGTATGTGGCAAAATGAAGGGAAGCTCGGCAGCTTGTGCATGCACATGTGCTAATGAAACACCATTATGATGGTTGCTGTGTATTGTATACATGGCCATGTAGAACAATGGCTCCTAACCTTGGGTCCCCAGATGTTCTTGAACTAAAACTCTCAAATACCTTCACAACTAGCTGTGCTGCTCAGGATTTCTGGGAGATGTAGTCCAAAAACATTTGGGTACTCAAGCTTAGGAACCACTGATTTAGAAGGAAAGCCTGCTTGTTTCATAGATTTAAGAGACTGGTATAATTCTGCTGCCTTTGGAATCCCTACTTAAAGCACGGAGGTTAGTTTTATTATGTACGCTATCACTTCCTTTGATGATTTATTGTCTTCATAGGAATGAGTGAAAATTAAAAGGAAGAAAGTTAAGGGTCACATTCCGGAAGACTCCCATGTGCACATTTTGCTTTTGAAGTGATAAAGAAAGGAAAGCTGTTTTCTTCTGTAGCATTTCATTTCTTCACAACTCATTGTGGTGCCTAGTGGGATAAAATAATTTCATTGGATTCAATGGTATTGTCTTGGGAACAATACCTCTCCCATCCCCCTTTGCATCTCTTGAGGCTCATTTTAAGAAGAAGCACATTTCTTGCCTTGAGAGCTGACGTGTTTGCAGGGCCTCTGGGACATGATGGAAAGTAAACTGTACTCAAACATGTATGCACATTTTAAAATGCAAGCAGCAAGAAGTCTGCAGCTTTTAGAAATGCAGAAAGATAATCTTTATCCAGTAAGGGGGAAAGCATAAGTTGGGGTAATGTACAAATTAAGTACATCAGGAAAACGTGCAAAAATGTGTATTAATTTCCATGAAACCTCCATCCAAAAGCAACCAAATATGAGACAAGGATGGGAAGAAAATGCAAGTGACATTCGGAGAAATGCAATGAAATTGAGACTGAGACATTTGCACATGACTTGTGGTGCAGATAATCAAAGAGCTCATTGTGGGAGAAGAAAAGGGGAAAGTTTTGACAGAGAAAGAGGGACTGATGAACAATTGTTTGCTTACAAAAATGAGAATAAGAAAGAGAAAGAGAGAGAAAAAGGACATGAAAAAGAGTTCAGCTGTGTTCATACAGTGTTTTCTCTTTGCAGATGCATCAGATAAAGTACTTTCAATGCTGGAAATGTCAAGGGAATCATCTTCTGCTCCCACCCTCGAGGCAGGTGTGCCAGAGATGAGCAGTCACTCTTCCATATCCAGTAAGCTTTCCCTTGACTTTGCTGAGGGGGAATTGAAGTTACGAGTTGACCACCTCTTTCTATGTTTTTCCATCTGGTAGATCGCTTCCAACCATTAATTTAGGCTCCTCTGAAAGTTTATGTGCCTTGTGTTAGCAGTCTCTTCACTCCATGAACGACAGGGGCTTGCTGGCAATCCATAAGCATGAGCTTTGCAGTTAGGTAACATATAAGGCCTGGAGAGTGTAGATTTTACATCATTTTCTCCCTTCCCTGCAACAACCCTTAGCAGTCACAATGTGTTATGGAAAGAAAATGTCTATGATGTATTAATGGCCATTTTTGTCTGGCCATTTTGAAGACCTCTTGTTGGGCAGAAAGGAGATACAGACTGTGACGTGCCCCTCGGTTGTTTCACTAGCCTGAGGCCCACAACTCTGTTCCCTCCTTTCCGCTGCCACCAGTTGACCTCTGTCAACACCCTTTAATTAGAAAGACTGAGGTCCAATCTGAATATAAAGTTGATCAACACAGGTTTATTGATTACAGTTCACTTAAACAGGTTCTTCACAGACTTTAAAGTATTAATTAGATTAGTAATAACTTGTTTCACTCTTAACTCTCTTAGCTCTCTACAGGTTCCACACTCTTAAATCCTAACTCTGCCACCCTCTCTAACTCCAACAGACAAACTCTACTTCAGATTCCCATCTCTGACTCTCATAGAGTGAATTCACTAAAACCCCTCTTCTCTCTGACTCACCCCTCCCTTCTGGTCTCTCTGGCTCCACCTCCCAACAGCTCCAATTGGTACATGCAAATAATCTTCTACATGAGCCAAAGCAGGATGATGGCCACACAGACTTTTTTCCATCAATAACAATAATACCAGCAGAATCTAGCAAGCTGCCATTAGCCATGGTTCTTCCAGATGGGCTGATGGAATACACACATCCAGAGGCTGCCCTTTTTGGGTCTCAGGGATTAAGAGGGTGATGTTGCCATAGCTAGAGCTTGGGAAAGGTTTTTTTTTAAACCATAATTCCCAGAATCCAACCTGACCAGTAGCCGTACTCACTGTAGGATCCAGGAGTTTGTAGTACCAGTACTTTTTCCAAGCTCTGGCCACGTGTAATTGTGACATACTAAATTCCTAGGAAAGTGAGAGTTTCTCTCATCCAGGCCCACATGTAGCAACTCATGGAAATGTTTTCCCCTCAGCTCAGTGCTGTCTTCTGAGCTTTCTTGATCAGACTGCATAGATTTAGATCTCCACAGGATCAAATTATATGTCACAAGAATGCTAGAAAATAAGAGGAGCCCTACTGGCTCACAACAAAAGGCTTACAAGTATGATCCAGCATCCTCTTTGTACAATATTCAACCCAATGCAGAGCAGCAGTACAGCAGCATCCTCCCACGCATGTCCCCTACAATTGCAGGTCTTTTCACACCTCCCAAGGTATGTTGCAAGAAAGAATGCACTATGCCTTGAGGATATGCACATCTGCATGGGGCATGAACCAGTGGGGATTTGGTGAGTCCACTCCTCCATAAGTTCCATTGATTCAAATGGGCCTACTTTTGCATATTAAGTTGCAGCTAAAGTAGGCCCATTTAAGCCAAATACCCAGTTATTCCATGGGCCTACTCTAATGTGACTTATTACACTAAGCAATAGTATTTGAGCCAATGTTAGACAGATTTTTGCATTCCTAATTTTGAGACATTTCCCCTGTGATGCTGGAAATAATATACCATATTTTTGCTCCATAAGACGCACCTGACCTTAAGACGCACCAACTTTTTAGAGGAGGAAAACAGGGAAAATATATTCTGAACCAAATAGTGTAATAAAATATTTAATAAACTATAACAGAATAACATTTGAACCATGTAAAGTGAACAGCAGTCAACAGTGGCATTAAGAACCATTAGCACTGTCATTAACAAATGGAGAGAATTAAAGGTTTTGTGTACTCTATATACCATAAATTTGTGTACCATAAATTTAAGTCAAGTACATATAGACCATTATCAGCCAGTGATAAGACCTATACCACTCTATCTATATTTTACATTCCCTTTGATCCACCTCCTCCCCATGCTTATAGAAATGTCTCAATGACAGATGAGATTGTTGTGCAACTCTGCCCA